CCAGAGCTTGCATTTCTCGTCTCTGACAGTTTGGTGATAGGTTTAAGAAGTTTTTCCAAAGTTCCTATTTTGGAGATGGAAGGACATCTATTGATCAGTCAAAACTCGAGGGTGGGGGCCATGGGATGGCTCAGCAGGTAAAGGTTCTTGCTGCCAACTTGCATTCAGTCTCCAAAACTCACACTATGGAATGGCAGAACAGACACCCAGAAATTGCCCTCCCTCATAGCATACCTCCTCCTGCCCCTGGTTAAATAAACGAAGCAACAACAGCAACAATATAAAGCAAACCTTAAGGGTGTTTGACAGTCACCTGGAGAGCTTGTTAGGACTCTGGTTTCTGGGTTGTGCCTTCACCTTTTATATTAAGCAGGCTGGGTGAGCTAGAGTTTGTGTTATAACACATTTCAGTGTGATGGTGTCATTGACAATGTGGGCAGAGCACTCTGGGAATGATAGTCTGGTTTAGTGGAAGTCACTTGTGAGCCACCTCCTCTCACAGAGAGCACAGCTTGGATTTATTGGGGCAGACTGTGTTCTGGACTATGTGTGGCATGCTGAAAGGGTTAAACAGCCTGTACTCCATTTCCACATCAGGCAAGGCAACTGACATCTCATGAAATCAGCTCTAGTTTGGGCTCAGGATTCTGCAAGTTGATTTTGGATTCATTTATCTGGTTCTTGATTATATAAGACCAGAGGCTTTCAATCTACTTCTTGTAAAAAAGGTTCAATAAATGTCTATTGTTGAGTGACTAATGTATTGGGAAAAGGGGACTGAAAGCTTTTAGCTGCTATCGGATATCCAATTGCTAGGATAGTATTTTGCCAGGCTCATTGTTAAGGGGGGTAAGATACAGACCCTGGAGATGGTAAGAGGTTCATTTCCATTACATTAAGCAGGGGCTTCAGGGGCTCAAGGTCATTCTTGGCTAATAGTGGGTTCAAAGCCAGCCTTAGATACAAGACACCCACGCCACAGGCAAGCAAACACAGAAACAAAGAAGCATGTGTATAGAAGATGAACAGAAAATAGACTCAGAGGAGGTGAAGGAGCACAGAGCATGGGGGAAACATATAAAAAGATCCAGATACTGTCATAGGGAGTATTTTGTATTCATAGGTACTGGGACAAGAGAGATGGGTACAAATGAGGAGGAAGATTGAACGGGGCCAATTTGGTAGGGTTGTAATGACTTGAGCTTTTATTATCAGAAGGAACGAGAGCCAGTGGCAGGAGAAACAATACAAGATGCATCTTATGGCAAGGTCTCTTGTTGAAAATTAAATGGTATTGAACTAAATATTGTTTATTATTAGCCCTGTAATTATTTTTTAATTTAACTTATTTTATTTTTAATTACACTTTATTTACTTTGTATCCCCCTCTAGTTCCCTCCCTCCTCCTCTCCCAATCCTTCCCTTCCCCAAGTCCACGCAAGCCCTTCCCCAAGTCCACTGGTAAGGGAGGGTTTATTTTTCTTCCTTCTTATCCTAGTCTGTTAGGTATCGTCAGGAGTGGCTGCATTGTCTTCCTCTGTGGCCTGGGAAGGCTGCTCCTCCCTCAGGGCGATGTGATCAAAGAGCAGGTCAATCAGTTCATATCAGAAGCAGTCCCTGTTCCCATTACTATGGAACCCACTTGGACACTGAACTGCCATGGGCTACATCTGTGCAGGGGTCTTAGGTTATCTCCATGTATGGTTCTTGGTTGGAGCTTGAGTCTCAAGAAAGACCCCTGTGTTCAAATTCTTTGGTTCTGTTGCTCTCCTTGTAGGGTTCCTGTCCTTTCCAGATCTTACTATTTCCCACTTCTTTCATAAGATTCCCTGCATTCTGCCCAGCAGTTGGCCATAAGTCTCGGCATCTGCTTTGGTAGTCTGCAGGGCAGAGCCTTTCAGAGGCCCTCTGTGAAAGGCTCCTAACTTGTTTCCTGTTTTCTTCTTCTTCTGATGTCCATCCTCTTTGCCTTTCTAAATGGGGATTGAGCAGTTTAGCCAGAGTCCTCCCTCTAGATTAGTTTTTTAGGTGTACATATGGTAGTAGGTTTATCCTATATTATATGTGTATATGAGTAAGTATATACCATGTGTGTCTTTCTGCTTCTTGGATAGCTCACTCAGGATGATCCTTTCCAGTTCCCACCATTTACCTGCAAATTTCATGATTTTCTTGCTTTTTATTGCTGAGTAATATTCCATTGTGTAGATGTACCACAATTTCTGTATCCATTTTTCAGTTGAGGGGCATCTGGGTTGTTTCCAGCTTCTGGCTATTACAAATAAAGCTACTATAAACATGGTTGAGCAAATGTCTTTATTGTGTACTTGAGCCTCTTTTGGATATATGCCTAGGAGTGGTATAGCTGGATCTTGAAGCACTATTCCTAGTTGTCTGAGAAAGCGGAGATTGATTTCCAGAGTGGTTGTACCAGTTTCCATTCCCACCAGCAGTGGAGGAGGGTTCCCCTTTCTCCATAGCCTCTCCAGCATGTGTTGTCACTTGAGTTTTTGATCTTGGCCATTCTGATGGTTTTAAGGTGAAATCTCAGGGTCGTTTTGATTTGCATTTCCCTGATGGCTAATGAAGTTGAGCATTTCTTTAAGTGTTTCTCTGCCATTCGATGTTCCTCTATCGAGAATTCTCTGCTTAGCTCTGTTCCCCATTTTTTTAATTTTATTTTTTTCTTTATTAATTACACTTTATTCACTTTGTATCCCCCCTGTGGTTCTCTCCCTCCTCCCGCCCAATCCCTCTCTTCCTCCACCCTCTGCATGCATGCCCCTCCTCAAGTCCACTGATAGGGGAGGACTTCTTTTCCTTCCTTCTGATCCTAGTCAATTAGGTCTCATCAGGAGTGGCTGTGTTGTCTTCTTCTGTGGCCTGGTAATGCTGCTTCCCCCTCAGGGGGAGGTAATTAAAGAGCAGGCCCGTCAGTTCATGTCAGAGACAGTCCCTGTTCCTATTACAATGGAACCCTGGATTACTTGATTTGCTGCTTTTCAACTTCTTTAGTTCTTTATATATACTGGATATTAGCCCTCTGTCAGATAGAGGGTTGGTGAAGATTCTTTCCAAGTCTGTAGGCATTCATTTTGTTTTGATTATGGTGTCCTTTGCTTTACAGAAGCTTTTCAGTTTCATGAGGTCCCATTTATTGATTGTTGATCTTAGAGCTTGTGCTGTTGTTGTTCTGTTCAGGAAGTTGTCTTCTGTACCAATGAGTTCTAGGGTCTTCCCCATTTTTTCTTCTAACTGATTTATTGTGTCTGGTTTTATGTTGAGGTCTTTGATCCACTTGGACTTTAGTTTTGTGCAGGGTGATAAGTATGGATCTATTTGCATTTTTCTACATGTAGACATCCTGTTTTACCAGCACCATTTGTTGAAGATGCTATCTGTTTTCCATTGTATGGTTTTGGCATCTTTATCAAAGATCAGGTGTCCATAAGTGTGTGGGTTTATTTCTGGGTCTTCTGTTTAGTTCCATTGATTCACCATTCTGTTTCCATGCCAGTACCATGCAGTTTTTATTACTGTTGCTCTATAGTATACCTTAAGATCAGGGATGGAGATACCTCCAGAAGATCTTTTATTGTAGAGGATTATTTTAGCAATTCTGGTTTTCTTGTTATTCCATATGAAGTTGAGAATTTTTCTTTCCAGGTCTGTAAAGAATTACATTGGTAATTTGATGGGAATTGCATTGAATCTGTAGATTGCTTTTGGTAAGATGGCCATTTTTACTATGTTAATCCTGCCAAGCCATGAGCATGGGAGATCTTTCTATCTTCTGATATCTTCTAATTCTTTCTTCAGAGACTCGAAATTTTTTCATACAAGTCTTTGACTTGCTTAGTTAGGGTTACACCAAGGTACTTTATGTCTTTTGTGGCTATTGTGAAGGCTGTTGTTTCTCCAATTTCTTTCTCAGCCCTTTTGTCTTTTGTATACAGGAGGGCTACTGATTTTTTTGGAGTTGATTTTGTATCTGGCCACTTTGCTGAAGGTATTTATCAGCTGTAGGAGTTCCCTGGTAGAATTTTTGGGGTCACTTAGGTATACTATCATATCATCTGCAAATAGTGATAATTTGACTTCTTCCTTTCCAATTTGTATCCCCTTGATCTCCTTCAACTGTCTTATTGCTCTAGCAAGGACTTCCAGAACTATGTTGAAGAGATATGGAGACAGTGGGCAGCCTTGCCTTGTCCCTGATTTCAGTGGGATCTCTTTAAGTTCCTCTCCATTTAGTTTGATGTTGGCTATAGGCTTGCTGTATATTGCCTTTACTATGTTTAGATATGTGCCTTGTATCTCTGATCTCTCCAAAACTTTGAACATGAATAGATGTTGGATTTTGCAAATGCTTTTCCAGCATCTAAGGAGATTATCATGTAGTTTTTTCTTTCAGTTTGTTAATATGGTGGATCACATTGATGGATTTCCATATATTGAACCACCTCTGCATACCTGGGATGAAGCCTACTTGGTCATAGTGGATGATATCTTTGATGTGTTCTTGTATTCGGTTTGCAAGCATTTTGTGGTGTATTTTTGCATCAATGTTCATAAGGGAGACTGGCCTGAAATTCTCTTTCTTTGTTGAGTCTTTGTGAGGTTTAGATACCAAGGTGACTGTGGCTTCATAGAATGAGTTTGGTAGTGTTCCTTCTGTTTCTGTCTTGTGGAATAGTTTGAAGAGAACTGAAGTTAGCTCTTCTTTGAAGGTCTGGTAGAATTCTGTGCTGAAACCATCTGGTCTTGGGCTTTTTTTGGATGGGAGACTTTCGATGACCGCTTCTATTTCCTTAGGGGATATAGAACTATTTAATTGATTTACCTGGTCTTGATTCAGCTTTGGTAAGTGGAATCGATCCAGAAAATTGTCCATTTCATTTAGATTTTCAAATTTTGTGGCATATAGACTTTTGAAGTAAGACCTAATGATTGTTTGGATTTCCTCAGTGTCTGTTGTAATGTCCCCCTTTTCATTTCTGAAAAATATGGAATGCTTCACGAATTTGCGTGTCATCTTTGTACAGGGGCCATGCTAATTGTTTCTATATCCTTCCAATTTTATTATGTGTGCTACCTAAATGAGCACAGCCCTCTAATTATTATGGCAGTATTATTTAACCCGCTCTCACAATCAATAAGACACAGAAGCCTGTTAGATTTTATAATTGCCTTATTTCACCTTGAGCTGAGCAGATATTCCACCTACACTATTTCATATCTTCCAACCCCATCTAATGCCATCTGCCTTAACCATTCCTGTCTGGCCCATATCCCATCCATAATTTCATAAATGCTTGGTTATCCTTCATTTTGATTGCTCCTTTCCATGATACTTTGAGTCCTTCCTCCCAGTGCACATGGTTCTTTTTCCAAGCTAACCCATCGTGTCTTCCTCCTTTCCCTTATCTTCCTGTGTCTGTCTGTCTCCTTCCTGTGATTCTCCTGTCCCCAAAGCCGGGGAACCTTAGCCATGCCCACCTACCTCCTTAAGCCCTGTCCAGGTACAGGCCTTTTTAATTAACCAACCAAGAATAATGTCTTAGGCAGGTTTATACAACAGGTGTATCTGGGCAGTAACCAGATCTTGAGGGTCAGTAATTAGCATCAAAATACAAGCATCACATCAACCTCCAACAGTCTGTGGGGACATTCTGGGAATATTTCCTGGGAGGTTATGTCAGGGACTATGGGGCTAAGGGAGAAACTGTTACAGGAGTGTCCATAAGCTGAGCCAGTAGTCTTGATTCACACATTGTTCTTAATAGCTGGTGTCTGGTCATGATACAGTAATGTTATTTGTGCATATTTTGTAAGAAGTGCTGTTCAGTCTTTAACTCAGCCTCTCATTGCACATGTTTTCTTGAAACAATTCATATATCCTCTTTATCTGTCACTGTTATATTTTTGTTGTTTCCCAATTATTTTCCTAGAATGTTTTGACATGTCTTTTTTTTTAACTTTTGGTTTTTGTGGCTCTATGTAAAGCTTAGATAAAGAATATTTGTGTCGGGAGAGGAGTAATTAAGATTCTTAGAGACTAGATCTTGTCTCTGCAGTGGGAAATAGACTGAGATTCTCTGGAAAGAAGTAAGAGAAAAAAGATGTTTCTTAGAATTGGAAGGACTGCAGAAAACAAAGGCTTAAAACAAATAGTGCTTCTGGGCCAGGAGGCTTGTGTATAGGAATTGAGATGGTAGGATTAAAAAAGAGATCAGTGTGGGTAAACCTGGTTAATTAAGGACAGCATGGTGTGGAAAGCATGCCTGTCTCTAAGGGAGAAGCTGGGACATGACAGTGGGGAGTTCAGCGCTTGAAAGTGGCAAGCAGAGCAGAACTGGAAAATGGCACAAATATGAGGCCAACTCAAAGTGCTGCAGCATCACCAGGACACAGAGTGGAGGGGTCACAGGCAGCCTAGAGAGGTGACTAATGCTAGTGAGGGCAAGCCGCAGACTGATAGGGCCTTGAGCGCACAGGCAAGCTAAATGGATTCTCAAAAAGCAACATCTTGCTGAAGAGAGAAACCAATGGAAAGTGAAGGAATTAAAACAGTTCTCTGGAAAGGTTCTTACCGATTAACGGGCGGTGAAGAAGTAGAGGAATTTGGATCCTCACACAGAGACACATGTGTTTGCTCTTGGCATTAGTGTTGGTCCAGGCTGAAGTGCCATGCTCAGGTTGAGAAACCCTTTGAAAAGGTGCTGTGCTGGATTTGGGCATCTTGTTTCTTAGTCACTGAATTGTGTTTGATGTGGCTTTTCTGTGTGCCACACATGACACGTCATGTCCTCCTGAGGTGCTGGAAGAGAAAGTACCAGGGGGATGGGCTGCCCTCTTGGCCAAAGGATGTGAAATGGTGAATACACAACCCCTGACACACCCACACCTTTTCCCATAAATAGGCCATTACGTTTATTGCCATACAAAGAGATCTAGACAGATGAGGTTACTCCCTGAAAATCGACAGAGATTAAGTTTCTCCTAGAGAACAGCAAGTGTTAATCACATGTTAAAGACAAGATTTTAAGGAAAAACTGAACTGGGTACAAAAAATAGAGGGCTTTCTTATCAGCTTCTGAAGGCACAGAAACCATTAGCTTAAGCCACAGGAAATCAGTATTTTGGTAAATAGTGAACAATTGATACTTACTGGCAGTTTTGCAGAGGCTCAGCTCTGCAGGATGGAGGAGACTTTTCTGCCTCTGTCTGGTCTCTATCTCCCTCTGTCTGTTCCCCTCTTGTAGCAAGGACCCACTGAAGCTGAACAAGAACTGGGACATGGTTCAGGAGACAAAGGCTTGTTGTCCAAGCAGGAAGACGAGGTTGGATCCCTGGAATCCACGTAAAAGCTGGGCAAGACACTGGGCATGACGCTGTAAGCCCAGTGCCAGGGGCTTCGGCAGCTGGATCGTGGAGCCTCACTGGCCAGTCAGTGTAGCCGAATCTGCAAGGTCCAGGGCAAGTGAGGGACTCTGTCTCAGAAAAGAAGGTAGAGAAGTGATTCAGGAAGACACCCAGTGTTGATCTCCGATGTTTACACATTCATGCAGTGTATACACACACACACACACACACACACAGGCACACCATTTACCTTGTGTGTGCATGGATAGTAAAGAAGGGACACTGGTCTCTCCAGGAAGGGCCTGTGCGGCTTAGTGTCCTTCACACAGGTGATGGCGGTAAGAGGGAAGTAGTGTGAGTATGGGCCAGCTGTAGTGAAGCAGGCCAGCCGGGGTTAGGGAAAGGCACCCTGTGCTAAAGAGCTGACCGATTCACTCTGTAATGGAGGAATAGCTAACCACATTCTGGGCACCCTCCATCTTTCACTGAGATTTTCAAATCCATCAATGATCCCCGCTGAAAGATTTAACAGGGACTTGTGAAACCTGTGACTTTCAAAACCCATGTTTCCCCTGTGCTTTTTGTTTGTTTTCTTCTGTGGCAAGCATGTGAGTGCACCCCATCTGTGCCTGGTGTGCACAGAAGTCACAGGAGTGCATCGGGTCCCCTGGAAGTGGAGTTGTGGGTGGTCGTGGGCCGCCACGTGTGTCCTCAGCAAGAGCAGCCAGGGCTCTCAGCTGCGGAGCAAGTCTGCGCCCACACAGTCATCGCTTTACAAACGACCACGGACAAGTTTGGTTATTCAGGAAAGGCACACCTCAGCAGGGATCTGGGAGCCACCGGCCTTCGCAGAATGTTACGTACTCACATTCCTTTTAAACTTTTATGGATAATATTTCATTAAAATTGGTTCATAAATTCTGCATTTTCTACTTGTCACTATTATTATGGTCTTATTATGTTATTAAAGATAGACGGTATTTTATTGACTCCATAAAAACGACGCAGCACACTAAGTCACTAAGTCCCTGTTTCCCTGTAGCTGGGAGGCTGTGCATCTCCGTCCTCCTGGGGCCTCTAGCGGTAGCCCGTCGCTTGCCAGCTATAGGGATGACATGTGCGGTAGAATCAGAGGCACTCCGCGTGAGTCCTGGCACAGCAGCTTATTCAGCTGTGAACCTCTGGTCCAAGAACCGCATCTCCTGCATACTGGAAACTGCTTAGTCTGCAGAGCTGGGGAGACTGAGAGCCCTGCAAGCTAGGTGTGCCCACCACGCCCACACCGGAAGACCTCACAGCTGTCAGCCCTGCAGTCACGCAGCCGCCTTTGCCTACGAGGCTGCTATGCAGAGAGGTGTTTTTTTCGCCAGCGAGTCCTTGCTCATCACTGAGGGTTGGTTTGATGGTCACCAAAGCAATATCTATTTGTTTTTTTTCTCATCTGTCCTTGGGGCTGGCTGCATAGACTCTGGAACATGCATCTGTCCATATCTGTTCTTGGCAATGAGTGTGTTTGGGGGTTAAATGGGGACCTAAGAAGAACTGTGAGCTCCCCCTTCTCCTGATGGCCCTGCTCTCTGTATGTCGAGAGCACTCGCTCTTATATGGGTGACAGGAGCAGAGGGCAAGCAGAACCCAGGGCATGTGGAAGGGAGGGAAGCAGTTTGGCCATGGGAGAAGGCTGAGCCTGCCTTTTAGCTCCTGTCCTAGGAGGAGTTGGTGCAGGAAGCCATCCGAGAGCTGGGGAAGGGCGGGCTGTACATGGAGAGTCGTTTAAGGCCGGGCGCACACTTTCAGCACAGCAAAGGCCCAGAGACTTGGAAGACGACCCAAGGGGGGGGGACACCTTTCCCACCATCTTTTTCTGTAGGTGTGGCCCAGCACTACTCCATGAGGCCTGGGGACGGCAAAGGGGTGCGCTCTTCTGCCCTAACACTGCAAGTGGAGGCTCCCAGAAGTCTCTGGAGGCTGCACGGGAGCTAGCTGCTTCTAGCCAGTCTTGTGGGTATCTTCCTCATGGCCTCTGGCCATGGTGTCTTGTAGGCATCTTCCTCATGGCCTCTGGCCATGGTGGGGGCTCTTGAAGGGGAAAATGTAAAAGCACTGTGTCAGAAGACCGGAGGACAGCAAAGAAGGATGAGTGTGCATGCGTGTGTGTGTGTGTGTGTGTGTGCTGTACGTGTCTGTGTGCCTGTGTGTGTGAGCATGTGTGGGTGTATGTGTGTGTGTGTGTGTGTGTGTGTGTGTGTATGCAGATGCTGAGACTCACAACCAAACTTTGGGCAGAAGGCTGGTAGTCTTATGGAAGAAGAGAGAGTTGGGGATAAAAGGACATGGAGGGGACAGGAACCCCACAAGGAGACCAATAATGCTAAAAATCCTGAGCCCAAAGGGTCCTGAAGAGACTGAGGCACCAACCAAGGACCATGCATGGAGAGGACCTAGAATCACTGCTCAGATGTGGCTGATTGGCAGCTCGGTCTTCATGTGGGTTCCCTAGTAAGGGGAGCAGGGGCTGCCTCTAGCATGAGCTCAGTTGACTATTCTCTGATCACTCACCCCTGATGATATAGCCTTGCCAGGCCACGGAGGAAGAGGATCCAGGCAGTACTTATGAGACTTGATAAGCTATGGGCAGATGGCAGAGGAGGAGAACTCCCCCTTTCAGTGGACTAGGGTAAGGGAATGGGGAGAAGAGGGAGGTAAGGGGGTTGGGGTAAGTTGAAGGAGGGTGCTACAATC